AAAAGCAATTAATGCATAAAGTAAAAAAAGAAAAATTATTTCCTAAAACCAATTTTTGAATCTTTTTACAAATTGCCTTTTTAAGGTTAAATTCTTGTAAGCCATACAGAAAATTAATGAAGACTTTAAGTCATATGCAAAAAAAATCTGAATCTGTAATTTTACAGTTTATTTAAATATTATAGTGTTATTCAAAGCTGCCAGATGATAAGCACACCTGAAGTTCATCAGTGCATTTTGGAGGAGCATTCTTGTCAAAACCAAACTCAAGACCCAACAGGACTCTGTTGAGACTTCAAGCAGAACTTCAGCAGGATGAGAGCAAGATGAAACCTCAGAAAAGACTTGAAGCAAGACTCAGACAAAAAATAAAATAAAAACTGAATTGAACTAACTAAAGAAAAGTTTTCATATTAGAATGGAACATATATACATCCTCTGATTGTTGGGAAAACTATTCCATGTTTGATGATATTAAAACATTGATCCACACACTCTGTGCTCCTACAGTGTAGCAATGCAATATACAGCCCCGGTATGTACCTAGTAGTTACCAAAAATGTACTTAATTAGTACGTGCTGGGTATATGTTTCCTGCCTTGTAAGTACAGTGTACCAAGTCACTTCATCATACATCCTGTTCCTTATAGGTCCCCGGTACAAACCTGAAGCATCCCTCTACCAGCTAGTATTAGGTAAATACCAGGTATGTACCCAACACATTCCAGTTACTTTTAATTATTAACTTTTCATTCAACCAGGCAAATCTCATTAAGACCACAGAATTAGTTTGCAAGTGAGGCCTGAGTTTGAAGGCAACCTATTTTACGTTTTTGGTCTGTGGGAGAAACCTGTGTACCCAGAGAAAACCCACACAAGTACAAAAAAAAACGTAAAACTCTGCACAAAAAAACCCAGCTCCGAACCGGGGATCAAACCCAGGACCTTCTTGTTGTGAGGCAAAATACCATCTACATTATGTATGCATTGTTTTATCAGTACATAAACTCCAACAACACAATATGAATGTTGCAGAAACTACATGATGCTATGATATGCCATGATTCACATTTCAGGGTTGTGTAATCAACAACTGATGCACAGATCTAACAAGATAGATAAAAAAGACAAGAAATGTTCATAATATTAGTATTTACCAAAATGTTTATCCTTGTAAGAACCTGGGGAAGATGAAGAGACACGTTTGAAGGAAGGAGTCCGAGTGCCACATGAATAGCATTTCACAGGTGGCATATTTAAATGTCTAGAGTTGGCATGGTCACAGTGCTGCTAAGCATTTTGTTGATGTCCAGAAAGTCCATATAACATATTTTCTTGTCATCCTAATAATACCCTTTTGGTTAGTTTTGACTGAATGTACTGTATATTTGTTGGGTCAGCTGAGTGTTTGGTTTGGCCTGACCATTCTGTTATATTGTCAGAGTACACCAAACAGGATTTGAGTCAGACCTCTCACCACAGTGACTACACAAAAGGAAAGGTTTTTGAAAAGCTTTGTTTAAACACAAGGTAAACTAGTTAGTTATTTGGACATCTATTGTCTGGTTTATGGGCATTGCAGAGGGTTTTGATCTTAGTCTTGGGATCAAGCTGATTCCTTACTTGTTTTTTTTTTCCTGTGGACAAAGATCCAGTCTCCAGGGGCATTAACAGAGGAGCAATCACACTGGGAGGTTCACAAAGGAGCTCAGCAGGTTCGCAAGTTCCATGCATGAGTCACAGAGGCTTGCAGTTTTGCTGCTTGTATTTTGGATATGTTTTTTTTTTCTGTTTGTATGTTTATTTTTTCCAAAACAGTCACTGACTCATTGCCAATGTTCTTTGATTTTTGTCTTGGGTGTTCAGTTTTAAAGACCACACCAGTAATAACTATTGAAAAACTGGTTCAACTCAAAACATGGCAGTCACACAGGAAGAGTGTGCAGGGGATAACACAGGTAAGCTGCTCACGTGATGTTTCTCGGGACATCCTGGGTCGGTCCCTGAAACTTATTTCATTTTAAAGTCCAAGTACATCCCCAAATGTGACAGTGCAGGCAGAGCAAATGAGCACTGTAGCATGTGATTGAGTAACTGTTCTTTTGGGACACTGCTGTGTAACTTGTGTCATCATGCTGTATATGTGATCTTTTGGATATTTAGTTATGGAAAAATACAGTGTGATGTTATTTGTTCTACTCTTACATAACTCAATACGCCGCAGAAATGCAACATATACAGTAAACATAAGTGAGACACATGTACAAATAAGTATAGTCAGGTACGTTTCATAAGTAGAATGCATAAGCTTCTTTTTCTTGCCTGCAGTCCACATCTGTCCCCTATTTAAAATGTATCACACACTAAAAAGAGAAGATCAAGACATTTATGTTTGTCATTCAGGAAGAATATAAAATGACTTGTGTTCAACTGAAGAAATTATGATAGCACTGCAATGATTGTTAAATGTGACTGTTTTGCTTAACTTGATGATTTTTTTATTAGTAGCTACATTCCTGGAAACAAATCCAACACATATTTGAACTTTTAAATCATTAGGGTAGGTTTTTAATGTTTGAGGTGCATGGCTTCTAAAGATGACAGGGACTCCCTCCACTGATGATGTAATCAAATAGGCGGAGCCATGCCCTGAATCTTTCTGTTAAAACTGAATGAATTTTCTCATTTCGGTCAGAACTCTGGGTCGATTAAACAAACTGGACTTCAGCAAAGAGCGCTGTTTGGTTTTATGGCTACTCTTTAATAATCCTTCCCAAGCTACTGCACATTACTGGTTAACGAACACGAATAACTACAATCTCTTCCACAACAATTCTACAATTTGTATAATTATTTTTCATACCAGTAAGATGTGAAACACCATTAAGCATGCTTCTTTCAGTAAAATATGTTTTTGCTGTCATCAAATCTGACATTTGTTTCTAAAGTTAGCACAAAAACAAGGAAATTTGTGTTTGGTAGATTATTTCTTTGTTGTAAAAATGCTTCTTGGTAAAATATTTTATAACTAGAAAAACCTGTTCATTTCTTTTTTTTTTAATGGTGCCACATTAGTAAGGAACATACATTTGTGGAAAGATCAGCAGAGCTGAATATTGTGGATTGCGCACATGGAAAAATTTCCAAATCTTCTCTGTCAAACATCTTATTTTGCTGTTGCTATGGACACTCGTATTGAGCTTCTGGAAGCCCCAGTGCTGCCAATAAGAAGTCCTTTATAAGGTTTGTTGATTTATTGCCAAGAAGCATTGTTACACCAAAGAAATAATCTACCAAACACAAATTTACTTACTTTTTGTGCTAAGTAAATATATATATAAACTTTCAAAATGTTGGGCTATAAAGAAATTAAAAGTTGTTTTCTTTGTACTTGTTTGGAGGGAATCTGATGTTTGGCAGAAAAAAAAACATGTGCAGTTAGCACTTGAATGCCACCTTTTAAAAACTTACTAGAACAGTACATACATGAGCTATTTCTGATAATCCAGATAAATTATATATACTGGGAAAAAACTGCTTTCATATCTTTTTGTTTGTAAATGAGAAATGGTTCTTAAACATTTCACCTGATACAGTAAAGGTCAAATAAAAATATGTTTAATATGTCTGATATATGTCTGAAATGTATATTGTAGTTAATATTTTACTACACACATACTGCATTTGACTGCATTTGCAAAAATACAGAAAGTTCATGATTTGCTTCAGTTCAATACTTTAATGTCACGGTTTGATATATTTTTGATACAAAAAAGAGAAATTTCCATGGCCTTCTTAACTTGTCCTTTATTAAAATTAATCATGAACTTTTGCTTAACCTTAAAAGTACAGTTTTTAAATTAAATGTTGCTGAAAGAGCAAGTTTCTCAGTGAATCTGTGCTTGACAATGCAGCCTAGTCAAACAGATATCTTCTGAGACTTCAACACAGCACATCTTCAGAAGACAAGTTGATAAGAGACATTTAAAAAATCTGTATTGTTCAATACACAGTGCGTATTGAACCTAAAGCACTGTATTGGACAGTTCAGTACAGATACATTGTTGAACCCCAAATATACCATATATATATATATATATATATATATATATATATATGTGTGTGTGTGTGTGTGTGTGTGTGTGTGTGTGTGTGTGTGTGTGTGTGTGTTATGTATTTATTTTATTTTAGTGTTTATACTGTATATTTAAAAAATTGCAAATGAAATGTGTGAGAGCTGATAGGAATATTAAATACTTTAGTTTGTTTGCGTGAGTGCTTCACTTGTGGCAGAGTTGTATGAAAAAACAACACCTGCGAGGTAATGAATTATGGGATTTATTTGTCTGAAAAAGACAAGGGAATCATAGAAATGAGGGACATGCTGCTAGAATGGAGGTCTAAAGCTAACAAAGACAGATGGTACATGAAGCAGATGTATAAAGAGCAGGAAGCAGGCAGAGGAGGTAACAGAGAAGGATGCTTAGAGGGAAGAGAGGAAAAGAAGATGGTGTAGGAGCTGCTTAGTAGGCAGCAGGCAGAGAGGAAATGGTATGAAAAAAGACATTAGTCTCCCCAGCTGTTCATGTGAATAAAGGAATTGTAGCAGCTCTTGCTTTTCCTCTTTTGTGTCCATCATCAGCAGCTCTTATCTTATTGACAAAGTGTGTGGCCTTTTTAAAAGCTAGTCCTGGGACCGAAGCCAGCCTGCCGTGCCTGAGAGGAGCACAGAGTCATTGATATGGGGGATAATCTCCTATTGTGGACAGGCCTCACTTTGCTCCCATCCTACCTCACATCACAACACTGTCTGCTGCCAAGCACACCTGAAAACCGCAGCAGTGTTAAAATTGCTTCAGTAGCCAAGCCAGGGTGTTTTGGAGTTTACATGACTCAAAAGCGTATCTCTCATATCAGACAACCTTTCAGATAATCCTTATCAGAATTTAAATGATGCCAGGAGCTCTACTAACTCATCTTTCCACTATTTTGCCTGACAGGAAGAGCCGTATGTGATGTTCAAGAAGTCTGACACCCCGCTGTATGGGAACGACCGCTTTGAAGGCTACTGCATAGACCTGCTGAGAGAGCTGGCCAACATCCTGGGGTTCATCTATGAGATTCGCCTGGTGGAAGATGGAAAATACGGTGCACAGGATGAGAACACAGGCCAGTGGAATGGCATGGTCAAAGAATTAATGGATCACGTGAGTTTATAAAACTTTATAAATTATTAGGATTATGTAATGCTGGAAAAATATCTAAAATAATTCACATTTAAAACCTATTCATGCAATTTATAAAGCTTATAAAAACATATGCACAAAACAGAAAATTAAATCTCACGACTCTGTCACTCTTGCACGTTTTGTCCTCCCTTGATTGGTAATGCACAAAAAATACAGCACCAAGCGGCAAATATGTCCATCTAAATTATTTAGTTCATTTTTGCATTCTGCTCCTCTTTGACTTGTGATCATATCCATCTCAGCAACTGGCCACTGATCCAACCCAAGCCTCATTTTTTTTCCATGAAGTGCTAAGTGTCTTGAAATGACATAAATTCACTACAATAAAGTCTAAAAATGAGTCACTACCAACAATTGCTTGTCTTGTAAAATCAAGTTTGTCTGTTTCATCAATTACAGCAAATGGATAAGTTTTTTGTTTAGTTTAGTTTTTTTAAAGGAAGAAAACATATGGCAAATATGGTAAATTGTTTATTTTGTTACGAAACAACACATTGTTTTTATAGGGTTTTTTTCCCAGTGAAATATTGGCTTGAACCATATTGAGGCAATACATATTTAGTGATTTTGGGAAACCCTCCATACTGGATCTCAAGTTCATTGAGTGTTTTGGCCAGTACCACTAGCCACCTTCATCCACCTAAGGATGAGGAGACATCATTATGCCCCTTAGCAAGATGGGTCTCTTGAAAAGTTAAGGTAGCATTTTTATGTACGAATAGTATAATGTGAGCTTGAGTATGATGTAACCCCCATTTTTGAGCTTAAAAAGGATAAAAATCTAAACCTTGTGCATAATGCTGTCCTTAGTTTCACACATTTTTACAGAAGACTCTGCAGACAGTCAACAGAAGGGCACCATCACAAATCTATCATGATATTTCACAAGCAATTTGCATGTAAAACAGACAATTTCAGGGATACCCACTTTTACACAACTCCAGTAAATACTGGTTAATACGCATGCTAAATTGGACCACAGAAGCTGCTCCTCAATGGTGTCCATCTTGCTAATTTAACCACCATCTACTAGGAGCAGATCCATTATCAGTGAAAAGAAGAAGCAAACTCTGCTGTGAGCTGTATAGTCTTCAAGTGTCAGCAGGAGGTAACAGACAGGCAATTTTCATAAAACGTGAGATTGAAAGCATCAGCCTACAACCCCAAATTCATTAAAGTTGGGACGTTGTGTAAAACATATACAAAAATAGAACACAATGATTTGCAAATCCTTTTCAACCTATATTCAATTTAGTTCAAACTACAAAAAACTAAATGTTTAATGTTCAAATGAATAAACTTAGTTGTTTTGTTGCATATGTTGACTCACTTTGAATTTGATGCCTGCAACATGATTCAAAACTGCTGGAACAGGTGCATGTTTACCACTGTGTTACATAACCTTTATTTTTAACAACACAATAAGTGTTTGGGAACTGAGGACACTAATTGTTGAAGCCTTGTAGGAAGAATTCTTTCCCATTCTTGCTTAATGAACAACTTCAGTTGCTCAACAGTCCGGGGTCTCCATTGTCATATGTTGTGCTTCATAGTGGGCTACACATTTTCAAAGGGAGACAGGTCTGAACTGGAAGCAGGCCAGTCTAACACCCACACTATTTTACGATGAAGCCATGCTGCTGAAACACATGTAGTGTGTTCCAACTGTAGGGGATCACAGTTCTGAGCTTCCCTGGTAAGGTGTATCCAGGGGTCCTGGGGAGGACGGTCCGTCGGGTAGTCGAATTTTGGATTCAGGAAGAGTTGTTGAGGGGATCAATTTTGGTGGTCTTAGGATCACATCTCTGCTTTTTTCAGATGATGTGGTCCTATTGTCTTCATCAGATCGTGATCTCCAGCTCTCACTGGAGCACTTCACAGCCGAGTGTGAAGCAGCCGGGATGAGAATCAGTGCCTCCAAATCCGAGACCATGGTCTTGAGCCAGAAAAGTTTAGAGTGCCTCCTCAGGGTTGGAGAAGAGGCCCTGCCCCAAGTGGAGGAGTTTAAGTGTCCCGGGGTCTTGTTCACAAATGAGGGAGGACTAGAGTGGGAAATAGATAGGCGGATTGGGGCTGCATCTGCAGGCGCTGTACCAATCTCTTGTGGTGAAGATCCACAGGTTGGTCTACGTTCCAAACCTCATCTATGGTCACAAGCTTTGGGTCATGACCGAAAGAACAAGATTGCTGATACAAATGGCCGAAATGAGTTTCTTCTGCAGGGTGTCTGGGCTCTCCTTAGAGATAGGGTGAGAAGCTTAGTCATCCGGGAGGGACTCAGAATAGAGCCGCTGCTCCTCCACATCAAGAGGGGTCAATTGAGGTGGCTCGGGTATCTGGTTAAGCTGCCTCCTAGACACCTCCCTGGTGAGGTGTTCTGGGCATGTCCCACTGGGAGGAGGCCCAGAGGAAGACCCCAGACACGCTGGAGGGACTATGGTTCTCAGTTGGCCTGGGAATGCCTTGGGATTCCCCCAGAGGAGCTAGCCTAAGTGGCTGGGGGAGAGAAGTCTGGGTTTCTCTGCTTAGACTGCTGCCCCTATGGCCTGATGCAGGATAAGTAGAAGAAAATAGATGAATGGATGGATGAATGGACGATAATAAAATCCCAAAATGTTTTGCAATTGTCATAGAAAAAAAGTTCTTAAATGGTTCAGATAATTTGCTCATGCAGTTATTCACAAATTGGTGAACCTCACCTTGCTTGTGAACTGAGCCTTTCAGGAATGCTCCCTTTATGTGCAATAATGACACTCACCATTTTCCAGTTAGACTGTTCACCTGTGGAATGCACCTGTCAGGTTTAGTGCAGGATTGACCCAGAGCACAGGCAGAGTTTGATTGCAAAACAAACAGTCTTTATTAAATAAAAAAGCTAACAGGGCAGCAGAAAAACTCACAAAACGTGATGTGGCAAGATAACTCCAGAGACATGAAAACCTACAGGCTGGACAACACAACACAATGATCGGACAAGGACTGAACATGGAACACAAAATATAAAGAGAAACTACTGAGGACAAAAGAGAAACACCTGGAGGAGAAACACGAGGAAACAGGTGAGCGTGGGTGGGGCAGCTGGGCAGAGAACACACAGAGAAACACTGAAACACAAGAAAAACCAAGACATAAAAACACAGACCATGATAGCACCAAACAGGTTTTTTTTTTTTGATCATCACTCAACTTCCCCAGTCCTTTGTTGCCCCTCTCTCAGCATTTTTGAAACGTGTTGCAGGCATTAAATAAAAAAACAACTATTTGTTAAAAAAAACAATAAATTTTATTTGTTTGAACAGTGAATATCTTGTTGTTGTAGCGTATTCAGTAAAATATAAGTTGAAAAGAATTAGTAAATTATCGTATTCTGGGAGAGAAGACACAAGATTACAGTTATATGCATTTCATAAAATTTGTCATAATTTACTCCTGTGTAAACTACAATTCTCCCAAATTTATGAATGATTTTTGTGGTTACATTGGTGTTACACTGTACACGCATATTTATGGTACTTTCTCGCTGGACTGTTGGAAACTAGTTGACAAACAACATTCACGGTAGGGGAGGGGGTTGAATGTGTTCACGGCGTGTTCTCAAGTTTTCTTGTATAAGTGACAGAGACTTGTAGTCCTGTCACTTTAATTTAGGATATTTTCTTTCAAAGTAGTCACTGAGTTGTTGCCAATGTTCCAAGCCCTCCTTAATCAAATCTCAAATGTCAAAAGCATATTCCAGTAGATTAGATCAATGAATGCAGTGGCCATGAAGATGGGTACAAAGCAAGTACAAGGTGGGAAGAAGTGAGTGACAAAGTAATCTGCACAGTCATGAACACAGTTTTGCATATGAAAATGAGTCATGATGTTTTTAAAACGGGGCAAGCAAAGCTTGGTATCACGGCTCAGTCCTTGTGAACACCTGGAATTCATTTAGACTGCTGAAGAAATAATGACTATTTTTATTTTACAATTTTAGGTCATTAACTAGTTTCTAACAGTCACAGCCCAGTGAATTATTGACTTTAATTTAAGGTTTAAAAATCAAGTTTGTATTTGGCATTGGATAGTTGGTTAGTCAATTTGCATGGTTGTGTCAGATATTTGATGTATTTCACTGTCCTTGTCAATTTTTGCATTTCAAGAACATGGATTATAGTTATTCTATTTAACCATGTCACTATTCTTAGTGGGTTTAGACAGTTTCATATATCAGGATAAAATGTCAAATTTACGATCAGCTAAATGTTCAGCTGGAAATGCAAAAGAAAGATGTGAGGAGTAAGACGTAAAGACAGACTACAGTAAGGAAGACACAAAAAAGAAAATAGGGAGTTAATAGCGAGCTCAATTTAAAAGTATAGTGACCCAAGGCAAGCATAGATTCTGTCATGAGTTGTTTCCCCTACAGAGCTTATTAAAACACACACAAACACACAATCTGCTCACAGTGTTGATCATTACAACCAACACAGTCCCAGTTAGGATAAACTGCATGAGCAAAAAATAAATAAGAAAATAGCAAGCACTGCATGGCCAATAGTCAATATCTGACCTCATTAAAAGCTGCACCCGGAAGGGGTTAAGTGGCCCTTAACTCCTCCACACTTCTGTTTCTGTTCTCGATCAGGGCAGTGATTGTTCGTTGTGACAGATAGTCTTGTTTTCACATGCGTGAAGGGCCAAGTCCCCCGTGAGGTGTTGTTCAGTGTTGGTTTGCCCCACTTTTTGCACTTGACTAAGACAGATGGTGATTGTAGCAGACAAGACCTCAGAAGGCCTGGGAGAGTTGGAATCAGAGAGGAGAAAATGCTGAATTGAACTGAACAAGTTTGTAAGGTTATGTCAAATAAATTTGGTCAAATGATATTTAATCTAATACTCTAAAGTGGAATAAACATTTGCTCTGTGCAGGTTTTTATTTTCCCAGTGTTTTGGATAGATTACTTTCATCAGACAGACTTTGAATGTAACGGCACTCGAAGCAGGGAGCTTAGACAATACATTCTTTACAGATAAATAGCAACCTCCATAAGACAAAAAGGGATTATCTTTGAGAAATAAACCACTTGACCTTGCCGTGCAGGTTTAGCATTTAGGGTCACAATGCAGGACGAGATTTATGAACTGTCATCAACGTAACATAGGTTTCCCTACTCCAGCTATGCTTTATGATACATGATTTTCCAAGGACAATTTCATGCGTTTTATATACCTACAACACATTGCCCTCATAGTTTTCATCTCCTACCAAGCATGTGCTCTTCCATCATTCCTATATGCTTGAGGAAAATTCTTGCTGAACTTTGATAAATATTACAATGACTAAATGTGCATGTGTTCAGCAAATAATTGGTCATAGCTAAACCTCTTTCCTGTGCAGTGCTTTAATAAAAAACATTCTTCAAGACTCTTGATAAAACATTGAAGACTTGGCACTTTATTCTATAAATCAGTGGATTTCTCAGTGCATCCTAAAGAATATGGTTTTATGATATCCAAAGGCTTATTACAGTATATAAAAGAGAAACAGGCAAAAAATAAAACAAACAAAAATAAATAAACTTTTGAGTATATCTTTGAATAGGAAAAAAATCCATTTCAGATTAAAAATAACGTCTGTCCAAGTAATTGCAGCTCCAAGTTTCTTTCAAGTCAATGGTTTGAAAAATAAAGAGGGCTTTAAATTTTTTGCTAAGTGCCTTTGGACAGGCTCAGCAGTGTGTAAAGACCCTGTTTTCTTAATTTGATTGCCTCTAAATGCTTCCTGTACCTGTAATTTAAAGCCCATTCCTCTTTCTTTTCCTGTTTGCTGTTGACAGAGAGCTGATCTGGCAGTGGCTCCCCTCGCCATCACATATGTGCGTGAGAAGGTTATTGACTTCTCCAAGCCCTTCATGACGCTGGGTATAAGTATACTGTACCGCAAGCCCAATGGGACCAACCCTGGGGTCTTCTCCTTCCTCAACCCTCTCTCGCCTGATATCTGGATGTATATTCTGCTGGCTTACTTGGGTGTCAGTTGTGTGCTGTTTGTCATAGCCAGGTAACATCCAAGAGATCGCAGCTCCACACACAGTCAGACACACAGCTCCCATTAGTCGCTTAACCTAATAGCAGTTTTGTGACCACACTTTGTGACAGTCCTGACATTATCCAGTGTCATATCAAAGTTCAGGCTCGGCATCATCAATTTGTAAGATATTTCATGTGTTTTAATTATGAAGAATTACTCAGTCACATTTAACTTCTGCACAGGTGCCCAGACTTTAGACAGATATGATGAAGGTTTCTCAGCTGGTTTGGGGTTTTATCTGTGTGTGTCTGAGAGAGTGACAGATAGCTTGTGCAATCATTATGTATGTTTGTGTAAGTGTGTGACTGTGAGAATGTGTCAAGCTCAATGTGTGTGGTCACAGCCCTTCTCTCATATTTCCTTCACTGCCCTGGGTGTCTCAGAGTTATGCTTCTTTTTTCTCTCTCTCTCTCTCGTTTCCTCTACCTCAGATCAAATATGACTCTGATTTGAGAGTTTCAGTACTGTGCTTCTACTGGGTAGCTTAGTGTCATCATATTAGGTTTGTTGAATTTGATTATTGCATCAATCATTTTTTTACTTAGGGAGTTGAACAAACGAGTTTTTGTTTTTTGTTCTTGCCTGAGCTCAAGCAAGAACAGAAAATAATTTACAAATGTGTAACTGTCTGTTTAAACATCAGCCCTATAATTTTACATAGCATAAAGGAGAGAACTAGCATATGGCATATCTGTAACACAAGGCCCTGGGATCACATGTGCACACAAGTTAACCCCTTTGGACATGTAAGAGAAGAAAAACAGATTAACATTGAGTTGATTTTTGACCTGGGGGGGCAGTGCTATTGACCTCTTTTGGTGAGACTGAAGTCAAATCACGGCTGTTATGCCCCTGAGCTGCCAAGGGAAGTGGTAACAGTGTTGATGGCCTTTACAAACAATCAGCGTCGAAATTTAGAATGTGACATGCCAGACACACATTTTATCCATAGTGTTTCACAACAACACTACACTTCCTGTTATGTCGGCTTCTTTTTTGTGAGAAAGCATCATTAGGTAACATGTCCAGCTCTTTTGGGATATTTGTAAATGGTCAGTAAAAGATGAAAGAAGACCTTGCCATATTAATGTTGCGCAATTAGACACTTAGTAGTTTCTCACTGAGCTGTGATTGCTGGTGACTAGTTGATGACCAGCATAAAATAGAATCTTCAAAATGGCCTGAAATGTTCACAGGGCTTTTTTTCCAATTTTCTTGCATGATTTGCAGAGGTTTGCAATTTTTTGTGTTTGAATTTTGAACACTTATTACTGACAGTAAACCAAAATGATGCTATGATGAGCTAGCCACACTGAAACAGCTCTTGCAACCCTGAAAACTCTTTTAGCCCAATAAAGTAGGAAATATTGTTTTGTAATATTGTTTTGTGCCCAACAATTGTTTTCATATAACTAATAGTCTCCCAGCATGCCCTAAAAGTGTCGGCAACAGACCTATATCTATAGAAACATGCATACGTCAGCTATGAAGATAGTGTTGGTCTGTGCGTACATCACTTCTTTGTGAGTATGCACCTTGGCCTCCCTGGTACATTTTATTATAATTACTTTAAACCTATGTAGCCTATAATGGCTGCTGGCTATGTGACATTGGTTTCTGTTAATAATTAATAATTTCTGTTAATGGTTTCTGTCTAAATTTAGCCATTGAACATTGTTTTGGTCTGTTAAGCTCGTGTGTGTGTGTGTGTGTGTGTGTGTGTGTGTGTGTGTACTGTGCATATAAGAATCGATTAGATTGGTTTTGTGTTTGATTGTCTCAATTTCCACTCTGGTTCATTTTTATCTAAGGATATCTGAATATGTTCTGTCCTGCTATTAGACTGTACCCTTATTTTTGTTCTGAAGCTGGACTCATTAAATATCTTTCCTGCTGTTAAATTACGAGAGAACAATTTTTAAGTTTGCTGTTTTTAAGGTTGAGGGTAAATACAATATCTGTGAGTCACAGTTCAACACTAGTTGTAGTACTGAAAAAAAATTAATGATTTTAAAATGTTAAGATAAACGAAATAATGATTGTTGGTCATGTTACCCATCCCTGTCACCAATCCGTCTGTGCAGGACCTGTATTTTGACACAGCTCTTCTCGGATAGAAAACTTGCCCAGGTTGAAAAGAAAAAAACAGACCAATAAAAAGCAATAGTAATATGTGAAAAACTGGTCAAAATGTGTCTATCTTCATTTCTAAAGTTTTCTTCAGTAAGTTTAATCAGAAATGCAGGAAAGCTACCAAGTTACATTCAAAGCATGCCAGGTGAGTGTAAAATAGGAAGCAAAATAATATGGAAGGGTTAAAATACATTTATTCATGTCATGCCCAACTATCATTTTCAAAAACTGATTTTCTGGCCACTTGGTCACAATTGGTCGGTGACTGCAAATAAAATAAATGCATTAAAATTGTCATAGAGTCTACAACTAGTCTCAAACAGTCGCAGCTCAGGGAAATACTACCTTTAGTCAGGTATGTGTACAGTATTGTTTTAGGATAAATGGGTTTGTGTTTTTCAACTAAACTGTTTAGTAAGGAGTTTATTTGATGCTGTAATTTGGCTAAAAAGTTATAGAGTAACACATTTTTAATATCTGTTGTATTCTGTTGGTGGTTTTGCTTAAAGAATCTATTTCAGTGAGGAACCACAATAGAACAGTGGTTTCAGCAGCTTTAAACTCTTGATTGAGTGTCTCTTTGTTCTGGCTAATGTTCGTAATACCACGAGGAAAGCAGAGAGAGAGAGAGAAAAAAAGGTCTTGTTAACTCTAAAACTTTTGGGACACAAGGCTGTTTTGTAGCCTCCGCCCAACAGTTTTACTGTTAACACACAAATTATGTTACTGGCAATATGATCACACACAAGAATGAAAAGCAGCAACTGTCATCTAAGTTGGCTCGGAATATGCACCAATGTGTATATACAATATGTAAGGCTTTGGGTAAGTGTGTCAATTCCCCCCTCACCTTATCTACTTTCTTTGTTCTGTCTACACAAATGCATGCTGGGCTGCAGTTGCATGACTTTGCTATTTAGAGTGGTACAAATTCATTAAATATTATGACACTGGAAGTTTAGAAGGTACAATATATTTTTAAGCAGGAAAAAACAATAGAATTTATTTCTCTCCATCCATGAGAATAGCATTTCCCCTTGTTTGTGCACAAATGACTTTTGTGATTTAAATAAATCCTTTTTTATTACAAATCATCAGAACTTTCTGATTCATAAAAAAAAGCTTTGTTTGTTCTATAACAACTTAACATTTTCATGGTGGACAGATATATGTTCCTTCATCCTATTCACCTTATTATTCAATTATTTGTAAGTGAACATAATTTAGGAGAAAAAATGTATCACAGGAAATCTAACAGGCGGAATGAACAAGAATTTAGTTTCACTGTCTTTATATACAGTACTGTGTGTGTGTGTGCGCGCGCACGTTACACATTTATCTCTGTGCTCTTGTCTTTGTGCTTGTATGAGTGTTTGTATGAAAGAGAGACCACTTAAAAGACTGAAAACCAGACCAATGCACAGCTGAATGGTTACTTATCCTTTCAAATGGTTTATAGCCAGTTACAGATCTTAATGTTCACCCTTATTGTTGTTTTATATACCATTCTATTGCTGAAACACAGTGCACCAAAACCTCCGCTAAACACTCTAGATTCCTCACTTGTTACATTATTGAAAATGAGCCTTCCCTTGTATTAACCTAAAATATTTTCAATGATATGTGTGAAGCAGTAAAGATTTTAAGACCTGCTGAACAATTTGTCAAATATATCTTTCTTTCTTTTACTTTTGAAGTTACGACATCTGGTTATTGCAGAGATTTTCAGAATTAGAATGAATCATACTGTGCGAGTTAATAAAAAAAAAATCACATATATTCTATCCAGTGAATCAAAAACCTGTGGATAGTTTGTGCTCCTAAAGGGAAAACCTTTATAGAACTGTGCCAGTTTTTTTTTTCCAACATATCCTGGATAATTTTACCACTACTTTTAAAATAACTTTAATATTACAACTAATTCTTTGGGGACACTTTCATTCAAATTTTAATTACAGTGTTTTAAATGGGACTGCCATTAGTCCATTATGCTG